CTCCCCCGCTTTAATATGGTCGCCAGGTCTGATTGGATCACCATCCTTAACCCCTAACAGTCAAACCAATCAGAGAGTAGCTAATTTGTTGACAGTTTTTTTTTTGACGTACTAATATAAATTCCGTTTTGTATATTATGTTGTGCTTGTGGTCGCAGTTGATCACAATAAACCCAAATATCATTTACGTTACGAGACAATCAGATCACGTGAATAGTCAATGATTATCGAGGGGGTGGTACAAATTTCGTGTGCGAGACACACCAGACTTGAAATTGATTGAGACTTTCATACAGATTTGTAATGTAACTTTGTTTGATACTAGATTTGGCAACTTTACTTTACTTTAGCAGGGAAGTTGTCACCCGCGCATGCGTCAGACGGCCATAGCGTGTCATTGTTTACAAACAAGCGTCTACCCATGAGCCTTTGCGCCTTAGCATGTGTTGTTATCATCGCTTGAGACGCAATTCCCGCGCGTGCGCAGGTGACAACCCACCCGCTTTAACTTTAACTTACTCAACTTTACTTGAGTTATCAATGACACATGAAAAGTGTTAACGACGACAACGACGAACATGGTAACCACACATCTTGCTATCTTCATTTACATTGCAGTTAAGTTTAAAATCACTGTAACCTGACAGCAACATATATGACCCTCTTCCTAGAGTATATTCTCTACACTAGGCATCTAGACTTCAATAAATGCATAATATAGACGGTAATTGAACGTAATCATGGCCTGTTATTGACTTAAATATAATTGATTGAGTTATGAGGAGTGTCAGCAAACATCGGAAAAAGCAATCCATAAGTTTCTTTTCAGCCGATGTAGGCGACAACATTATACTGGAATCACTTTCAACTTTATACGCTCAAAACAACTAATTAAATACTATAACCACGTGATAATAATTAAATACTATAACCACGTGATAATAAATAAATACTATAACCACGTAATAATAAATAACAAATTTAGAGTATCTGCAATAATGAACAAACAAACAATACAGAGGAATACAAAATAACAAACATGGTAACCTCACAACTAACACTAATGCGATTATACATGTGAACAGTAAAATTATATTGTGTATTTGTTGCATGATTTACTTTCTCATGTACCAATGACACACTGATCGGTGGTCAAATTTGTTTCAACGGAAACGCTGATAAGCCTGATATATTTTTTTTAAATTAAAAAATTTCTTTCGAGCGGTGAATTTTGTTCACCATTTACGACACTACACCAAATCTCGCAATTTTCGAACTCGTCGGTCGTATCACTCTACTTTCTTTCTTGCGGCATTGCTATTAGGTCCCGCAAAGAGGTAGTGATATGCGACCATTGCCTCACTATGGCATTACCGTACTACCAGGTGCCGCAAAGAGGTAGTGGGTATAAGACCATTGCCTCACTCTGGCGTGAACATGTCATCTGAATTACCAGATTCCATCATACCTCATACAAAAAATCCTTCATGTCAGAAACTATATGAAATGAAAAAACTCCAACATTTGGCGAGAGGGAGGAAGCCCAAATAAAAATTAACATCATTCTGCAAAAAAAAAAATGTGCACATTGGTTCAACGTTCTTTTTAATGGAAAACTCGTTAGGACAAGGGAATCTTGTTTTATATTTAAAACAAAATATTGAAAAAGAAATTTTCGGGTCAGTTATGACATCTCGTATATTTGCTGGTAATAACTACGCCAGAATTATCGACGATTTTAAGAAGAAAATACGCTCAATGAGATTAAAAAATCAATTCACGGATAAACGTCCTTGACTGCTTTCTGATATCGCCAACCAGAATGCCTTGGGGGATGTATATAGATTGGCACATGCAATCCCTTGTTAGTGAGCCTGCATTCAGTGCTAGTTATATAAAACAACACACTCTACATTCGTGCGCGATATTATATTTTGAACCGGAAGCAGTAATAATATTTTTTTTAACTTAAAGGGACAGAGTACTTTTAGCTTAAAGCGAAGAAGTGACCGTCTGCCGCATGCGCAGGTGCGACCGCTTTAATCGAATATAAATTAACGCGTTAACATGTTCAAATGACAATAACTCGTGACGCGTATAGCGATAAACTCTGTTAAACCATTCATTTGCAAATGCTAAATTGTTGTTGTCGAAAACGTATGTTGGGTGCAATTGCGAGGTCGAAACTATTTAAAGGGCAAACGGATAAAAGAAATAACAAAGACATGTCCAATCGTTCGCCAGTACGATGTAACAGTAATACATGACTGTGTCTCCATGGATTGAGCATATCGAGCTGGCCAGCTAGTTACACACACACATTGCTGTGCAAACCATTTTAAAACCGTGTTCTCGCAAACATGTTGTTTGTTGCATAACCTATGGCGTGGGTATACAATACCGTCACGTGATCCTCATTAGAGATCAAAATTCATCTGCTATTGGTTCCAAATCTTCGAAATACTTCAACCCCTTTTCGAGAGCCTGAAATATGTAGACCCCATATGAGATCAAATTCCTGGAATAAATGGACCCATTCGAGGCCAAAATTTGTCGACCCCATTTTAGAACAAATCCCTGAAAAACATAATTT